TATTTAGTTGAGATTAAATGATAAATTTGAATGTTTAAATTAATTCCTTTTAACTACGTGCTAAGTCGCCTTTAATGACAATAGAAAAACAAACAATTTAAATATCTAAATACATATAATACATTTCTTTTATTTGTTTTATTTCAATAACCAAATCAACTACACGAGGGGTGAACGGTCAGTGGGGTGTGTTTGCTATTAAATAAAAGTGCATTGTAATGCCTGTTCCTTTCTGTAACGTATACTTTTAGATTACTCGATTTTTTTCTTGGGGATGGGTAAATAATATCATTCAAGTGTCTACTTTCATTCTACATGTATAATTGATGATCAGGTTGTTCTATTCCGGGTGTACAGGATCAGTTGCAATCAGACCTTATCAAAGTCCAAGGGTGGTGTTGTGAAAATAAAACGATTCTGAATATAAGTAAAACCAAATGTATGGTTATTGGTACAAAACAGAAATTGAGTAGAACCAATGATGTTTTAAACCTGACATTAGATCTGAAATATTACGAACAGGTGAAATCTGAAAAACGTCTTGGTGTCAAAGTTGACAACAATTTATCTTGGTCAGATCAAGTTGTATCTATTGTCTCTAAAGTAAACCGTGGTTTAGGTTTTCTCAGACGTATACGTCAATATTTGCCACTTTCAGCCAGATTATTTTTTTCATTCCTGTATTTTCCCCCATTTCGTGTATATTTGTACGGTGTGGAGCGGATGTTCTCTTAACCTAATACAGAAATTGTCAAAAGCACAGAAACAAGCTGCAAGATTGCTTTTAGATGCTCCTTTTGACACCCCATCTGTGGAAATGATTTCTGTATTAAGATGGATACCAATTCGCGATTATTTGAAATTTAAAAGAGGTGTTATGGTGTATAAATGTGTCAATAAACTTGTACCTGAACACCTATCAACACAGTTCAATTTTTCTAATGACTCCCGTACAAGATCAGCTTCCCAAAATTTTATACAAGTACCAAAACATCGTACTTCTTTTTATTCAAAACAGTTAGTGGTGGAAAGGAGCCAAATTTGGAACAGCTTACCAGTAGAAACAAGATTTTCATCCTCCCTTCCTAAATTTAAACAAAACATGATTGGAAGCATTAGGAATACAGTTTGAGTCTATTTTTTTCTTTTTCTTTTTCCTTTTTTTTCTTCTCAAAGATACCTCTTTATATAGCTTTTTGATGTTTTTAGTTACGCTATATTAGTGTGTATGCTGCTTAGAATAGTGTATCTTTGCTCCTGTGATAGTTTTAATGAAAAGTGTAAATGACCCTTTAACTGTATATATATTCAGTCAAATTATAGTAATTTAATTAGCTCAACTACTTTTATGCCCATGCTTACTGTGATAATAATTTGAATGCTCATTTGTTTTCTATTATATCATGATTTTAACTAACCCTTTTACTAACAGAGGACCCTGTGGAAGTTTAGCTTTGCTAAACATATTTTTAATCCTCAATAAATAAAGTTTATTATTATTATTATTATTATGATCTCTCAAGCAGATGACTGAATACTTTATTCATTAAACGTAACATACATTTTCCCCCCCGAACAGTTACCTGTAAAAATGAATATGACACTTACTAGGTCACGTTATACATACAGGTAACAGGTACAATTTTATGGCACATATAAAATTAAAATCCTACGTATGTATGTACAGTAATTGACATAAACTGTTTACAAATGTCTTCACGTGAAGAGCTCGTGTTGTAAATACCACGACCGAAAACCCTATACTGACAGGTAGGAGTACTTCTAACTGGAGGGGAAAGCAAATATTTTCTTTGATGTCGTTTTGAATATTTTTATTATCTGCTCGGAATTTGTAAACCGTGCCAAGGTAAACATTGTAAAATGGTCAAAGTTTCTATTTTAGGGAATTATTAACACAGTATACATCACCAGAAATATCTGTTCGTATAACGGACTTCTCTAAAAAAGGTTAACGTCACCAACACCACAGACTTCTGTCCGTATAACGAACTTCTTTAGTATTGTTTACGTCACCAACACTACTGTCTTTTGTCCGTATAACGAACTTCCATAGTATTGTTTACGTCACCAACACTACCGTCTTTTGTCCGTATAACGAACTTCTTTAGTATTGTTTACGTCACCAACACTACCGTCTTTTGTCCGTAAAACGGACTTTTTAAGTATTTTTTACGTCACAAACACCACAGACTTCTGTCCGTATAACGAACTTCTTTAGTATTGTTTACGTAACCAACATCATTGACTTCTGTCCGTATAGCGAAATTCTTAAGTATTGATTACGTCACAAACACCATAGTCTTCTGTCCGTATAACGAACTTCTTTAGTATTGTTTACGTAACCAACATCACATACTTAATTCTGTCCGTATAACGAACTTCTTTAGTATTGTTTACGTCACCAACACTACCGTCTTTTGTCCGTATAACCAACTTCTTAAGTATTGTTTACGTCACAAACCCCACAGACTTCTGTCCGTATAACGCACTTCTTTAGTATTGTTTACGTAACCAACATCACATACTTAATTCTGTCCGTATAACGAACCTCTTAAGTATTGTTTACGTCACCAACATCACAGACTTCTGTCCGTATAACGAACTTCTTAAGTATTTATTACGTCATAAACACCACAGAGTTCTGTCCGTATAACGACCTCTTAAGTATTGTTTACGTCACCAACATCACAGACTTCTGTCCGTATAACGAACTTCTTAAGCATTTATTACGTCATAAACACCACAGAGTTCTGTCCGTATAACGACCTCTTAAGTATTGTTTACGTCACAAACACCAGTCTTCTGTCCGTATAACGAACTTCTTTAGTATTGTTTACGTAACCAACATCACATACTTAATTCTGTCCGTATAACGAACCTCTTAAGTATTGTTTACGTCACCAACATCACAGACTTCTGTCCGTATAACGAACTTCTTTATTATTGTTTACGTCACCAACATCACAGACTTCTGTCCGTATAACGGACTTCTTTAGTATTGTTTACGTCACTAACACTACCGACTTCTGTCCGTAGATATAACGAACTTCTTAAGTATTGATTACGTCACAAACACCACAGACTTCTGTCTGTATAACGAACCTCTTAAGTATATTGTTTACGTCACCAACATCACAGACTTCTGTCCCTATAACGGACTTCTTAAGTATTGTTTACGACACCAACATCACAGACTTAATTCTGTCCGTATAACGAACCTTTCAAGTATTGTTTACGTCACCAACATCACAGACTTCTGTCCGTATAACGAACCTCTTAAGTATTGTTTACTTCACAAACACCACATACTTCTGTCCGTATAACGGACGTCTTTAGTATTGTTTACGTCACCAACATCACAGACTTCTGTCCGTATAACGGACGTCTTCAGTATTGTTTACGTCACCAACACCACAAACTTCTGTCCGTATAACGGACTTCTTACGTATTGTTTACGTCACCAAAATCACAGACTTCTGTCCGTATAACGGACTTTTTAAGTATTGTTTACATCACCAACACTTCAGACTTCTGTTCGTATAAATACTCTATCATAACCTCAAGCGATAAGGACATGGTAAGTAAAGGAGATAACCTCTATCATATTCTCAAGCAATCCAAACATGGTAACCAAAGGGAGATAACCTCTATCATAACCTGAAGCAATCCAAACATGGTAACCAAAGGGAGATAACCTCTATCATAACCTGAAGCAATCCGGTAACACGTGGTTGAGCACCGGTTGCTTTGTGGGGGTCAGGTGGTCATTGATCTCTATTTTAACGGCAAATGTCATTATTACAATATGACCTTTTAACAAAGACATAAGAAAAAATATGTACAAAGGTCATATGTCATAGTTATGATTTCTCATAGAATGATATTTGAACTTGCTACTTCAGCCACAAACCGCTTTTTGTCGGACGTCTCATTTGGGCAAGGCAGTAGCAAATTCTGTACAAGACAGGGATGTTGTTATCTTGATATATAAATGGTTATATATGCTATAATAAGTTTGGGTTTAATAGCCCTCTTCTGTCCCTGTATCAATGAAGTGTGATCAAATGTCAAGTAGTCTTTTTTGCAGATTTAAGAAAAGAAAAAAATGTCAGATTTTTGATATGCATCCTTCTATTAAGGTTTGCATTTACATTAGGTATCAAAACAAAATCTGGCCCCGGTTACTCAAAGGTTGGTTAAAGTTCAAATGGTTGGTTCAAATCTTATAATATGAATTCATTGTACAACAAATCAAGAACATCAGATTAATGTCACTTGATTTGTTGAGATGAATATAAGATTGGAATTTGAGGATAATTTTTCTTTTAAATACCCTTCTTTCTTGTTGGCAACAATTTGAAATTCACTAACGATTAGTGAAAGTTAACCCACCTTTGAGCAATGTTAACTGGGGCCAGGAGTTTAAAGCCAGTCGAGGATTGCCTAGTGTATGTGTTCACAATATATTGTAGCATAGACTTCAAGTTGGTTACTTTTCTTAGCTTTATGGTTTTATGGGGGTCACCTAGTTCTTGACAAGGACTTCAACTGCAATGATGTAAGTGCCTATCTCTATCACATAACTGACCCAGCTTACTATGTCATACGCGCATGTCATAAATTTGGTAATAGAATCTTACATTCTTGTCCATATCATATTGAATTTATTACAGTCTTCAATAAATAAGGATTGACCTTCATTTTGACGGCATATACTGTACTGTACCATGAACGTAGTTATCAACAAACACATTATATGGTGCGCATGTCGTGTAAAATTATTAGACGAGTTTAATTTATATCTACCTCCTCACTCCTCACAGGTAGAGCTGACTATCAGGTACTATGTGGTACGCAGACAGCAGAGTTTAAAAAAAAAATCAATCTATTATCTTCCCAATCTTATCATGTGTTTAAACATCAGACACTGTTATGACTGAGTAGGAAACCACTTATAGATAAAACACAAGACAACAAAACTGTTATAAAGAAACTTTTATGCAATAAATATACACAAAATCTGGTCATAGTAGCACATGTTAATAAACCTACGGTACAAAGGGGCAACATCAGTAAATAGAGGAAGATAAGTACCATTCGGTCACATCAACAACAATCTCTTATCAAATGTCAAAACAAATAAGTGAATGAACGATATGGAACACAGTTTTTAAAAAAAAATCACATCCATGCTCCCATATAACTGGGAGTGCATAAACAACCACACAATCTTGTATGACTGGGCATTACAACAACGTCATATTGTTTTGAATAGCACATGTACATACAGAAGTCAACAAAAGTATAATCCATTGTTATCAAGACATGCAAAAAAAAGGGTATAAACTTGTCAGCTCTTGTATACTATACAACACAACAGCATGCTATCTCCACGAAAACGTCGGATTAAAGTTGTGATATCTGTGAATCACAACACAAAAGTAAAGTTTGTCTCCATGGAAACGTAGGGTTAAAGTTGCAATATCTATAAACTACAACACAAAAAGACACTTTCCCTCCAGGAAAAAAATCACAGTTTTGTTAGTAAAACTATTACTTTTTTTGTAGATATCAAAATTATTTGAATATTTTTCTCACAAAACAATGTCAGTAACATGATCACTTTGATAATAACAAACAGATAAATTATCTGCTACAGTTTCTGTCTTTCTGCCAAGGTCCAGCCTCAACCCTTCAGGGACCACACAGTTACCGTGGCAACCGTTTTCCCTCCACATTTCTCATAAGGCACTTCCTGGATACAGACACATTTCAGTCTGAAATAGGAGAGAAATAAAAACATCAAGTATAAACTTGAGAAAATATCAATGCTAGTTTGTTTATAGGTACAAAGAATATAAGCTATTACATAAAATTTGTCTGAATAAAAAAATATATATTTCAAATATAAAATCTATCGGTGAACAACGGTTGCCCTAGAAGTCTAGAGCATGTGTCAGGTTTGAACTCCAATGAGCAAAGAGGAGTACTGCTGATTCAACTCCAAAGCCTGTATTCACTGTCCCTCTACATTTGTTTTTTCCTAAACAGTTACCTCCCCTTATCTTTAGATATTCCCGTTAGCCAGGTATTTCAGTCCATAAGAGCAATGGTATAACAATCTGAAGTCCAGGGTTCAAATCGCGGTCTAGCCCCACTCTATTTGATAACACAGAACACTATTGTTGATTATATATTGCGTAATTTATCTTTTTATTTCCCAATTTTTATTTTTAAGTCCCGCAAGTTTTTTTGTTTTTTTTAAAGAAATGACCTATCAAAGCTCTAGTTGTGCCGTAAAAATGGTTTCCAGTTCTTAATTACACTTTCTGGCAATGGTATGGGGATACTTAAGAAGTTACACTGTAGACAAGAAAATGTTGACAAATTGAGCAGACGACAGGTAAATAAAGACAAATCCTTTCCAAGGAAATAGTTCATATCAAATGATACTTTATCAAACAGAATCAACATATTTACGAAGACAGAATGGTTACCTGTTGTCCAAGTGAGGGGCGAGTGCATCTCGGCCCCAGGTTTCGTCCTCAGACACGATTACAACTATCCCGTTTTCTTCAATGATTTCCCACATTCTTACCAGCCAAGCTAGAAAAACATAAAATCATACAGTCATATCATGTCTGTGACAAAACAAGCTTTTCAACACTCTATCAACACTAGAACACTGACAGGTCAGGAAGGACACAATGAAATACAGGTCGATCATATTGGATATCAGAATATCGGTTATAAGGTACATGTATTATCCTTTCATGTTATGGGACAGGTAATATTTACTACCAAGTATAAACAAAATCAGACCGACAGAATGGCACTCACTGCCCATATGGCCTCAGCAAATCAGAAGTCATATCATCTAAAACAATTTTGATTGGGTATTTACCATGTAGTCTATTCACTAAGTACCATTTACCACAGAGTATAAATAAATTGAGTGTACCAATAAAATGAAAATAATAGCTGTACATGTCTTAACCAATCAGAAACAACAAATGGTGGCCATCTTGTATTGGAGATCCAGGTAAAAAGGTAGTTAACGTAGGTCTTGATGTGAGGGAAAACCTGAGTACCAGGAACATGCAGATGACCCAATACCTTTTCACCTCCGATTGGAGAACTGAATCCTCTAGGGCCTCTTGGTGAAAGGTGAGTGGGCTATCCAATACTCTACCTGACCACCTTTGTGTACAAGTTTTTATATATATCAGTAAGTATAAGGAAGGATCATCACTCTATTTGGGCTGAACTCAATCTGAATGAGAGTTTTTGTATCATTTGAGCATGGGTGTTATCTACGTTGTTAACTAGAGTTGCCTAAATATGAGTGAGAGTTGTCTACTGTCAGGTCTGAGAAGGATTACCAAAAGTGCCCAAAACTAAGTGGGAGTTGTCTTCCTTTTGGTGCCAGAGTTGTCTACCTTTGGGTGTTAGAGTTGTCTACCTTTTGGTGTAAGAGTGGTCTACCTTTTGGTGTTAGAGTGGTCTACCTTTTGGTGTTAAGAGTGGTCTACCTTTGGGTGTTAGAGTTGTCTACCTTTGGGTGTTACAGTTGTCTACCTATGGGTGTTAGAGTTGTCTGCCTTTGGGTGCGAGAGTTGTCTACCTTTGGGTGTTAGAGTTGTCTACCTTTGGGTGTGAGAGTTGTCTACCTTTGGGTGCGAGAGTTGTCTACCGTTTGGTGTTAGAGTGGTCTACATTTTGGTGTTAGAGTGGTCTACCTTTTGGTGTAAGAGTGGTCTACCTTTTGGTGTTAAGAGTGGTCTACCTTTTGGTGTTAGAGTGGTCTACCTTTGGGTGTTAGAGTTGTCTACCTATGGGTGTGAGAGTTGTCTACCTTTGGGTGCGAGAGTTGTCTACCTTTGGGTGTTAGAGTTGTCTACCTTTGGGTGTGAGAGTTGTATACCTTTGGGTGCGAGAGTTGTCTACCTTTTGGTGTTAGAGTGGTCTACCTTTTGGTGTTAGAGTGGTCTACCTTTTGGTGTTAAAGTGGTCTACCTTTCGGTGGAAGAGATGTCTACCTTTGGGTGTGAGATTTGCCTACCTTTGGGTGTGAGAGTTCGGCCCAGAAAAGTCATCACAATCAGGTTGTGCTTGCCAGTCTCATTTGGGACCCAGGTAAACTGCAGCGTGGAATACAAGCATAAATGATCACAAAATGGAAAGAAAATATACAGTTCAATTTTATTTGTTATTAAAGACTTTAAAACTAAAAGTTCACCTCGTACTTCAACACTTAAACCTCATGCATCTGTAAGTTTTATATAGAGTCCAACTTAATGTTTATTTTAAGTAATTTTAAGCTCATGGCATTCAGTGTAATATTCATAAGTGCTACCAGCAAAGGCTAATCCTCAAGAATTTAAACTATATACTGAATGTCTAAATAATCTGAGAGTTAAACCTCCCAAGGTCTGACTGTTCTATCCACTACACTACTGTTGACACTACGGGGGCCATTCATTAAATTCTGTCACGAGTGTCAGAAATCTCATATATGATGTAAAATATAGTTTGACCTTTCTATCACATTCCTTCCAAGTATCACCCCTTAGCAGAAAAACACACTTTCGCAATTGTGCTTTTCATGACTTTAACTCTGCGCAGTAGTCTCCCCTTGGTATACTGGCAAAACAAGGGGCCTGTTCGTTTATGCAGAACACCCCGTTTGTCTGTTTCTGAATGTAATAATTTTGGGTATAAATTCTGGCGGACCTGCAAATGTGTATGCAGGCCTTGCAAGGCTCCTCTTAAAGGCAGCATAAGATTACTAGGTCCAACCTTATTTAATAAACGAACAACTGTGGTCCGACCGGTTCAACCGTTAAACAAAAAACGGCCAAGGTCTGACTGTCTGATGTTAACTCGAAAGTAGCATTTGCCTGCTTACCTGTTTGAAAGTGACATTTTGGGATGGAGCATTGATTACGGCCGAGGTAACCTGACCATCTGGTCCTGTGAAAGCCATTTCTTCTCCGCGCTGTAGACGGAGAGCTGTGTCAATGAACCTGCCACTGTAGTCCACAGCCAGTATCTGTAAATGTGAGATCACTACTATTAACATCCACACAAGAACTGTGTCACTTACGGAGCTTTCTACACACCTCTACCTAATGCCTACTGGAACAACAACCTTCACACCATCATTTACTTAATACTGGTCAACAAAGCCTCAATATAGCTCTCAAGTACTCAAACCGGTGAACAGAGTCCAAAGTACTTACACTGGTGAACTGAGTCCCAAGTACTTACACTGGTGAACTGAGTCCCATGTACTTACACTGGTGAACTGAGTCCCATGTACTTACACTGGTGAACTGAGTCCCATGTACTTACACTGGTGAACTGAGTCCCATGTACTTACACTGGTGAACTGAGTCCCATGTACTTACACTGGTGAACTGAGTCCCATGTACTTACACTGGTGAACTGAGTCCCATGTACTTACACTGGTGAACTGAGTCCCATGTACTTACACTGGTGAACTGAGTCCCAAATACTTACACTGGTGAACTGAGTCCCATGTACTTACACTGGTGAACTGAGTCCCATGTACTTACACTGGTGAACTGAGTCCCATGTACTTACACTGGTGAACTGAGTCCCATGTACTTACACTGGTGAACTGAGTCCCATGTACTTACACTGGTGAACTGAGTCCCATGTACTTACACTGGTGAACTGAGTCCCATGTACTTACACTGGTGAACTGAGTCCCATGTACTTACACTGGTGAACTGAGTCCCATGTACTTACACTGGTGAACTGAGTCCCATGTACTTACACTGGTGAACTGAGTCCCATGTACTTACACTGGTGAACTGAGTCCCATGTACTTACACTGGTGAACTGAGTCCCATGTACTTACACTGGTGAACTGAGTCCCATGTACTTACACTGGTGAACTGAGTCCCATGTACTTACACTGGTGAACTGAGTCCCATGTACTTACACTGGTGAACTGAGTCCCATGTACTTACACTAGTGAACTGAGTCCCATGTACTTACACTGGTGAACTCAGTCTACAGTACTTAATATAAAAACACCAGTGAACGGAGTCCCAAATACTTACACTGGTGAACTGAGTCCCAAATACTTACACTGGTGAACTGAGTCCTAAGTACTTACACTGGTGAACTGAGTCCCAAGTACTTACACTGGTGAACTGAGTCCCAAGTACTTACACTGGTGAACTGAGTCCCAAGTACTTACACTGGTGAACTGAGTCCCAAGTACTTACACTGGTGAACTGAGTCCCAAGTACTTACACTGGTGAACTGAGTCCCAAGTACTTACACTGGTGAACTGAGTCCCAAGTACTTACACTGGTGAACTGAGTCCCAAGTACTTACACTGGTGAACTGAGTCCCAAGTACTTACACTGGTGAACTGAGTCCCAAGTACTTACACTGGTGAACTGAGTCCCAAGTACTTACACTGGTGAACTGAGTCCCAAGTACTTACACTGGTGAACTGAGTCCCAAGTACTTACACTGGTGAACTGAGTCCCAAGTACTTACACTGGTGAACTGAGTCCCAAGTACTTACACTGGTGAACTGAGTCCCAAGTACTTACACTGGTGAACTGAGTCCCAAGTACTTACACTGGTGAACTGAGTCCCAAGTACTTACACTGGTGAACTGAGTCCCAAGTACTTACACTGGTGAACTGAGTCCCAAGTACTTACACTGGTGAACTGAGTCCCAAGTACTTACACTGGTGAACTGAGTCCCAAGTACTTACACTGGTGAACTGAGTCCCAAGTACTTACACTGGTGAACTGAGTCCCAAGTACTTACACTGGTGAACTGAGTCCCAAGTACTTACACTGGTGAACTGAGTCCCAAGTACTTACACTGGTGAACTGAGTCCCAAGTACTTACACTGGTGAACTGAGTCCCAAGTACTTACACTGGTGAACTGAGTCCCAAGTACTTACACTGGTGAACTGAGTCCCAAGTACTTACACTGGTGAACTGAGTCCCAAGTACTTACACTGGTGAACTGAGTCCCAAGTACTTACACTGGTGAACTGAGTCCCAAGTACTTACACTGGTGAACTGAGTCCCAAGTACTTACACTGGTGAACTGAGTCCCAAGTACTTACACTGGTGAACTGAGTCCCAAGTACTTACACTGGTGAACTGAGTCCCAAGTACTTACACTGGTGAACTGAGTCCCAAGTACTTACACTGGTGAACTGAGTCCCAAGTACTTACACTGGTGAACTGAGTCCCAAGTACTTACACTGGTGAACTGAGTCCCAAGTACTTACACTGGTGAACTGAGTCCCAAGTACTTACACTGGTGAACTGAGTCCCAAGTACTTACACTGGTGAACTGAGTCCCAAGTACTTACACTGGTGAACTGAGTCCCAAGTACTTACACTGGTGAACTGAGTCCCAAGTACTTACACTGGTGAACTGAGTCCCAAGTACTTACACTGGTGAACTGAGTCCCAAGTACTTACACTGGTGAACTGAGTCCCAAGTACTTACACTAGTGAACTGAGTATTAAGTGCTTACACTGGTGAACTGAGTCTAAAGTACTTACACCCATAAACCTTTATTTCACACCGTACTTATATATACATTAGTCAACATAACCTTCACGTCATTAAGTACACCCTGTACTTACACTGTTGAACTTGGAGGCCAGGAGGAGAGGTCCACGGCCACTGCCAGATCCAAACCAGGCTGCTGACTTGGTGCCACACTTGTAGGTTCTTGTGTAGCTGCTACACAGGTCAGCCACCACACAGGGCAATGCATCTCTGTAACCAAACTCCTGTTCGAGAATCCCAGCCAACGCCTCCTTTCTATCATAATGATACTGTTGATTTGCGGTGTTTTTGCGGGTCAGCAAGTACTTGGTAGGGTCAATGGTCTCTGGAATGTCTGCAAACAATGAACACAATATTTGAGTCTTCCACTACAGAAAATTGAACCTCAAATTGTATCATCAGCATTCATTTTACGGCCGAAATTCCCATATCACAATCAATCTATTCAGAACAGATTTCCCCAAAATTGAATGCACCTGTTATACCACCAAACTTGGGTAATTCCATATTCTATGATCTTTCTAGAACGGTTATACATAAATCCATTTATGGACCCCAATAACACCACTGCACTATGTCACAGAAATTCACTTGTCGGTCATCAATTTCACAGCTACATGATGGGAGATCAGTTTTAAGGCTCCGACACAGGTTATCTGGAGATCAGGGTTGGAGCCCTGTGTCAGAGCCAGATGAACCAGTGTCTGCACCTGATAACCTGTGTCGGAGCCCATTTACCTGTGTCAGAGCCTGATGACCTGTGTCTGCACCTGATAACCGTGTCGAAGCCCATTAATCTGTGTCAGAGCCTATTAACCTTTGTCTGCACCTGATAACCTGTGTCGGAGCCCATTAATCTGTGTCAGAGCCCATTAACCTTTGTCTGCACCTGATAACCTGTGTCGTAGCCCATTAACCTGTGTCAGAGCCAGATAATTATATAACCTGTGTGGGAACCTGATTACCTGTGTTTGAGTCTGGATATTGTCGGGAGTTTGGACCATATCAAAAGTTTAACATGTACTGTGTTGTAAAATATATATAAAACCCATGAATTTGATCCATATGACCCCAAACACAAACTTGTGACCTCACCTTGTTCTCCGACTCCCAGCACAAACACTTCCATGTCCAAGTGGGCCACTGGAATGTCAATTTTCTGTTTAGTTCCAGTAAGAGGTCGAGCTATGCGAAAGCCACAATGCTGGATAAAATGTCGACGGAATCCTAACCGCGTAAATTTGGAGCCGTAGGCACCAGTTGAAATCCATGATCCATTCTACAAAATAACGAGTAAACACTAAATTAGGACTCTACGTACTGCATACATACAGTGAATAAAGCGATATTAAAGAGAATGCGGGGAAACGAAATTGATATATCAAACTCTGCGCACAAAGAAACTTCTTTTTATTGTTACATGTATTCCATGAACACGAAATTCATGAATTAATAATATGATTTTCCAGATTGATTAGATGACATTTTGACCTTTACAGGCTAAGACAAAAAAGGAGATGATACAGATATAGTAACTGCCTGTAAGACCTAGATGACAGGTGTACTGTAGGTTACGAACCAGCATGATATTGTGTCGGCCGTCAAAACATGGAGTGGAATAATCGTCATACAGGTAGTGAGACTCGAACCCATTCAACCCGTTGAAATGGTCTTCTGTCCACTCCGAGACGTTTCCATAAAGGTCATGGAAACCAAGGTCAGACTCTGCATTCATGTTTACTGGCTGTGAAAGTAAATATATAAAATTATTGTTCTTCCGAGTCTTCAATAGGTGTTATAGTTATAGGCTACAAAAAACATTAAGTAAAATTTTTGTTGTTATATTTATGTTAGTCGATCATAAATGGCAGTCATGGGTTCATATATATTTGACCTTTGATCCTATTTAACAGGATGACGTCAAGGTACATACCGTGGACGACCCGTACAACAAGTTGTTGTTGGCCCCCGAATTCTTTTGGAAGATGACATCAGACATCACATCACAGCTGGTCTGCAGCTGGAAACGTAACAACATAATGATACAGTTATGGAGACAAACATTCAAATAGTTTTCTCACCTTATTTACACGATACAGTTTTAGTGCCATCATGTCACTGCAGGTATAGACAGAACTTGAATGAATAACTATGTGGAAATCCGCGCTTTGCTGCAAAGGCAGGTTGGCACCGAGATTTTAAATAGAATCATACAACCTTACATCAATATGGATCATTAGAAAAAAATGTGCCATTTATAGTAATTGGGGCACTGTGGTCTTGATTTTGATCTCCGAACTCTATTTTTGTTAAACCAATTCTAAGGTCATATCTCTATAACATAAGCATATTGCAGTGACCTCTCTTGACCTCACAATTACAATAACGGAAAAAGTCTCAAAAATGGTTTTATTTTTGATTGTTAACCAAAATCTAGGTCATGCACGTGCACAGCGACCTAATTTTGGTAGGCAAAACACTTAGCTTTGTCTCCCAAACATAAACATACCTTGATGGTCCTACATCAATATGAGCAGGAGAAAAACTCCAACACCAGGTTATGTGGATTTGGTGAAAAGACAACCCCTAATTAGAACACCAAATTTCTAATGCCCACAAAGCTTTTATATCAATACTCTTTAAAGAGACCGCCTCTGTTAATAAGGGAACACTGCATGTCTACACTGGTGTGTAGTGTGTAGCTCCCGTCTTTGTGACAACCTATCACTACTAACCTCTGATCCCCTCATAGCGATGTATTCGGCCTCTGTGGGGACACGGAAGTCTTGCCCCTTCCAGGCACAGTAAGCGCGAGCTTCGTGATAGTTCACATCCACAGGCCAGTCCAGAGGCATGTTGATCTCGTCAAACATGGCCCGATATCTGTAACCAATGTAATAACAATGTTACTAATCAAGCTTGTTACTAACCAATAACACCATGTTACTATAATCAAGCTTGTTACTAACCCATAACACTGTTACTAACTAACCAACCTCATTACTAATAAACCTTGTTACTAACCAATCACACTATGTTACTAATAAACCTTGTTACTTACCAATCACACTATGTTACTAATCAACCTTGTTACTAACCAATCTGACTATTTAACTTACCATCCCTGTTACTAGCCAACCTTGTCATTAATCAATCTGACACTGTTAGTCTACAACCTTACAGCGTAACTAACCAATTAAAATGTCGATAACCAACTTTAGTGTTACTAGCCAAGCTGAAAGTGTTACTTACCAACGTTATTACTAACCTACCTTGTTACTTGCCAACCTTATTCTGTTAGTCTACAACCTAACACTACTACCAACCAATCAGACGATGTTTACTTACCAACCTTGTTACTAACCAATCAGATGATGTTTACTTACCAACCTTGTTACTAACCAATCACACTATGTTACTTGTTACCAACAAAACTTGTTACTAACCAACCTTATTCGGTTTACAACCTGATGAATGGCATAATATATGCAACCAACCATTCAATGTCAATAACCAACCATACTGTATATTATTTAACAACTAAGTAAGATTACAAGGTACCTAAAACAGTAATTCACCACTTACATTATTACCTAAGCCCCCATGATGAGCTTCCATTAATCGGGAGGACCAACAGAAATGACAGTTTTTTGTAATGAAGTCTTTTTTTAAGACCCCTGTCCCACTGCACTGTAGTTTTTTGTATAAACCATAACCTCAACTTAATCTCAGACAAACACTGAACATAGAGCTTCTTCTATGTTTGCGAGTTTGAGTTGTTAGCGAGCTGTAGACGGACGCTAGAAGACTGACCTCACACGACTATATACAACTGGCTGTCTCACCTGTAGGGCATCACATCGCCATTGGTGTAGCCGTTGCTGTTGCTGTTGCCGTTGGATTCGTTGGATATTTTTGGTGAGCAATGCGAGTGAGACGACAGAGCCGATCCACAATTGGACTTACAGCCTGGAAACAAACACGACAGAATCAGTAATATATATATGTCTGAATCACAAAACACCCCTGGAAATCATCACCTCTCAACATTGGGGTTCTCAAAGAAATATACTGTCTTCATAAGAATTGTTTAAAGATAACAGATTTTTCACAAGAAAAAATAGATTATTGTTACATGATGATTATACCACATTACTAAGGTCAAATGACACCTTACCAAAGTCAAATGACACCTAACCAAGGTCAAATGACATGTAACCTGGGTCAATTGACACCTTACCCAGGTCAAATGACACCTTACCCATAACAAATGACACCTTACCGAGGTCAAATGACACCTAACCAAGGTCAAATGTCACCTTACCAACGTCAAATTACACCTTACCAGTGTCAAATGACTTCTGACACAGGTAAAATGACAGATACCCTCTGTTCTGCAGACTAGTATACTGAGGAGACGTCTGGTTACACAGACAACACAGTTGTAAGTTTTACGGAGCTGAATCAGCCATTGAATGAACATCAAATTCAGGGTTCACAACATGCTCATTCAGCACAGTAACCCTCAGCAGCAGCAGCATTGATGAAAAGTTCATCTATGTAGCACTTTTAAATATACAGTGAAACAATTCTTCTTAACCAGCTGCATGCTGTGGACAGATGGACACGGTTTGTATCTACCACCAACTTTGTAGGTCAGGGGGTAACCAATGTCAGACGAAACCTACCCTATTCATATGACATACGATTCCGACAGTACCTTTATCACATGTCCAGAAGACGGGGTGTTGTACCTGGCGAAATGACCGCCACTCCCATCCCTCTGGTGTCCAGTATGTCTTGTTGTTGTAGCCTCCGTCCAAAACAAACTCCATGAACTGACCGTTGGTTACAGGGTACTTGCTCACCTCAAACTTGGGCACTCTGAAATGTGACCAGTGAACATGGTAACACATATATATACAGATGAAACAGACTCTGAAAACAGACCCGAGACCCCAATCATCGTTCATTTTCTGAAACCAATAGGCCATTAATGGCTACAATACCCAGATGAAGAAATCCTCTAGGTCTTTGTCAACAATGTCAAATGATCATGTGAGTTAGAGATTTCACACATAGCTTTCCAAGTCCTATATCTAGCAAAGGCAGATACGAGAGAAGGAAGGTACACAACCCTGGACATATTTCCCGCCCCTATGCGTTGATAGAGAAACACTGGCGGTCTGGCTGATCATACACCAGTGTTTATAGCTAGCAATGTAACTGGAGGCTAACTATGATACCCGCACATCCCACGGTAAGCAAAAAAACTATCGATTCAACCCCCATTATAAACGGTTAATGAAAACAAAACGAATAAATTATACCCAGGTGCACAGGTATGAAGTCAACATGTCTGAATGAAAAAATAATACCTGGATGCACAACAACTTTGGTTCAAATTGGCCCAATAGGTTGGGTTTTTTTGAGAGGGGGGTGGGGGGGTAATCTGATATCACCATGGCAACTTCTAGACTCACCTGTATGTCGTCGCCCCATACTCATTGTCCCAGCCAAACGACGGGAAACCGTCTGGTTTCCCGACCGTCACTGTCACTGCATCCACAGTAATCAAAGGATTTGTCTTCACTCTCCTACCTAACAACAATCATTATTATAGAAGAAGCAAGGTTTTTACGTAAAACTTTGTGCTTGATTCAGTATAGATTGATGAACGAATTCAGGAACCAGTTACGTACATATTACCAGGTGATTCAATCCAACTTTACAGTGTCTAGGGCTTCCTAAAGATAACAATTCTCATAAATGTATAGAAATTCATAATCAGAGAGTTTTCATAATGAGGCATTCTCTGGACTTATTTACAGTGCAAAGCTTTAATGATATACCTGGTAGAGATAAAATGTCATCTGGCTGTCATACACCAAACACAACAAACCTATGGCTTACCATGCTTCAGGGGACCATAAACCCAGCCATTTGGCTTGGTTACCATGTCGGTAGGAAGCTGGCGAATGAGGACGGAGGACGTCTCGATGTGGATCCTCTCATGCTCCATGCCCATTAGCAGTGCCCACTGTCATGGGAGGATAGGGAATTAACTTACTGATTATTGATATGTACGTGTATCTTATTACTTTGTTAAAGAGCATTGTGATGCTTCACCATTGTACACACACATACTGTACCAAATGTCTGATCACTGCTTTCAATTTTATATTGACACTAGTACTACATAAATACAACTGAAAAAGTTTAAAAAAAATTATAGTGTGGAAATGCTCGTATATTAGCAATTGTAGATATACAGTGATTGCCCACATGAAAATGTCCATACCGTGATCAGTTTAAAGACTCACAGCCCAAACAGCCATGGGCTATCTTTGTTGATAATCCAATCATCTTATACTACGTACCCATGGGTGGTCCTTGGTGATCATAAGATCATCTAAAGCTATGTACCCAAGGGTTGTCCTTGGTGATAATCTGATCATCTAAAGCTACGTACCCAAGGGTTGTCCTTGGTGATAATCTGATCATCTAAGCTACGTACCCGAGGGTTGTCCTTGGTGATAATCTGATCATCTAAAGCTACGTACCCAAGGGTTGTCCTTGGTGATCATAAGATCATCTAAAGCTACGCATCCATGGGTTATCCTTGGTGATAATTAGAATATCTAACGCTATGTATCTATGGGTTGTCCTTGGTGATCATAAGATCATCTAAAGCTACGTACCCATGGGTTGTCCTTGGTGATTATAAGATTATCTAAAGCTACATACCCATGGGTTGTCCTTGGTGATCATTAGATCATATAAAGCTACGTACCCAAGGGTTGTCCTTGGTGATCATAAGATCATCTAAAGCTACGTACCCATGGGTTGTCCTTGGTGATTATAAGATCATCTAAAGCTATGTACCCATGGGTTGTCCTTGGTGATTATAAGATTTTCTAAAGCTACATACCCATGGGTTGTCCTTGGTGATCATAAGATCATCTAAAGCTATGTACCCAACGGTTGTCCTTGGTGATAATCTGATCATCTAAGCTACGTACCCAAGGGTTGTCCTTGGTGATTATAAGATTATCTAAAGCTACGTACCCATGGGTTGTCCTTGGTGATCATAAGATCATATAAAGCTACGTACCCATGGGTTGTCCTTGGTGATTATAAGATTTTCTAAAGCTACATACCCATGGGTTGTCCTTGGTGATTATAAGATTTTCTAAAGCTACATACCCATGGGTTGTCCTTGGTGATCATAAGATCATCAAAGCTACGTACCCAAGGGTTGTCCTTGGTGATCATAAGATCATCTAAAGCTCCGTACCCATGGGTTGTCCTTGGTGATCATAAGATCATCTAAAGCTACGTAACCAAGGGTTGTCCTTGCTGATCATAAGATCATCTAAAGCTACGTACCCATGGGTGGTCCTTGGTGATCATTAGATCATCTAAAGCTACATGCCCATGGCTTGTCCTTGGTGATTATAAGATCATCTAAAGCTACGTACCCATGGGGTGTCCTTGGTGATCATAAGATCATCTAAAGCTATGTACCCAAGGGTTGTCCTTGGTGATAATCTGATCATCTAAAGCTGCGTACCCATGGGTTGTCCTTGTTGATCATTAGATCATATAAAGCTATGTACCCAAGGGTTGTCCTTGGTGATAATCTGATCATCTAAGCTACGTACCCAAGGGTTGTCCTTGGTGATCATAAGATCATCTAAAGCTACGTACCCATGGGTGGTCCTTGGTGATCATTAGATCATCTAAAGCTACGTACCCAAGGGTTGTCCTTGGTGATAGGTAGTTCTAGTGGTGTGTCCTGGATCATCTTAAGGATGACACTTCTCACTGCCCGCCTGTACTCCACGACTTTGTCCAGAGAAGGCCACTGGTAGCTCCCTCCCATACGATAGTTCTCCTGAAATGGTAAGTCAGCCCTTATCACTGTTTCAAAGAGGAAACATTTTTCAGATTTTTTTTTCGTTCTGCAGCCATGCATTCAATCGAAGATGACCAAGTCAATACTGTTATATACATACCGTATCATCCCAGGACATTTCATCAACACCCGTCTCAAACATGGTCTCAAACTCCAGGTCTACCCGCTCCTGTAACCAAACAACATGGAAGTTATAGATATTTGAAAATTGCGAACTCTAAGTTTTCACGCAATGATCAGCAAAAAAGGTCACAAAGTGAACATTTTCACACACGAAAGTGTAGAAGGCTTCCTACCTTGAGTAATCTGACCATATGGCGAATTGTCAGTATAGAGGGGTTCGTATCTTGAGTAATCCGAACAATACAGAGAATTGTCAGTATAGAAGGGTTCCTACCCTGAGTAATCTGACCAATAGGGAAAATTGTCAATATAGAGGGTTCGTACCGTCAGTAATCCTGACCAATAATGAGAATTGTCAGTAAGGAGGTGTTCATACCGTCAGTAATCCTGACCCATAATGAGAACTGTCAGTAAGGAGGTGTTCAAACCGTCAGTAATCCTGACCAATAATGAGAATTGTCAGTAAGGAGGTGTTCGTACCGTCAGCAATCCTTACCAATAATGAGAATTGTCAGTAAGGAGGTGTTCATCCCGTCAGTAATCCTGACCAATAATGAGAACTGTCAGTAAGGAGGTGTTCATACCGCCAGTAATCCTGACCAATAATGAGAACTGTCAGTAAGGAGGTGTTCGTACCTGGATGAGTCCAGCCAGCATAAGCTTGTTAATGTACACAGATGCTGTGTGGGCAAAGTAGAATATCAGGGGGAGTCTCAGCCTGTCTGGACATGTGTAGAACACAGACTCGTCTACAACACAAATACATCACCCAGCTCATTAATACCTAATTAACCAGGAATGTCACACATTTGTAAGTTTTTAATTTCTGTATTTAGATAATAAGCGAGTGATCCTTTTTAAATCAAGTTTTATAATCGAAACAAACAAACAATTATTTCATTCAAATATGTAAATATTGAATTTTTTAGTTGACCAAAATGTAAGAATTTTTAGTTGACCAAAATTTAAGAATTTTAATTGTTGGAAGGAAAATTTGGCTTATCTCCGCCACAGTAGACATGCAAAGCAATACCAGCCTTCACGGAGATTTACCTCGCAATGATGAGAAGAGAGACTCGTTCAAGTCGTAGCTGTTTTCAAAGTAATCCCGCAGTTGTCTGTAAATTATATATTCAGGTTTAGGGACAAAAGGAACCCAAAAGGGTTCAAATTTCAATCTTTGTCACAGTTTCTTTCTAAAATAGTGCTTTCAGTATCATGCTAATTTCTAGTTTCCTGAACAAAAACAAACGTGTCTACTGAAGACATTTTGTAAAAAAAATATCCTCTAAAAATAGTTACTTAAAAAATGTGTGAATGATATCAGTATCCCTTAAATCCTGTCACTGTCTACTTAATTAGCAATTCACATGTATAATAAGTTAAAGAAAAAAAGAAAACATTTATGACATGTCGGCCATAAAATGATCCTTATCTTCATAGACATATCACTACTAACTTGCATTGCTGTGTACATAGATACAGACCACTACTGCAATCCCATTGCCCACTTTCTACTGACCGATTGAAAATTAGATGTCCAAATATGGCTGGAAAATAGTGGTCATCAAACATATCTAAGTTTTGATGCAAGAAAATTTCTCACAAAGTTTTCTATTAATTATTTAAAATTTAAGATATTAAAAAGACACTGTGTGACCATTCAAATCCATAACACTAAAAATCACTGTTCAATAACCCTGGTTATCAAACTTTTCCATGCTTTCATGGTACTCTATAACATGAAATGTTCGTTGTGTATAAGCATTCGTGGGTTTTGTGGTCGCTATTGAACCACGAAAATAAATACAACAAATTTGAATGATATACGTGTCCACTGTTTGTTAATATAGGATATCCACAAAAACGTGTGCCACAAAACTATCTTAAAGGCTTCAAACCACGAAGGAAAGTACCCACAAACATTTCGTGTTATACAGTAATTGATCTTGTTATAAAGTTTGAATTTTATCCATCCATAACTACTAAAGATATTCAGCAAACACTTGATGCCCACTCAGATGAAAACATATGTCCCATCTTAGATGGGCTTATAAACGTATAAGAGCGGATTGGTTGAGTGGTTAAAACACTCCAGCCGTCCATGCAAGCGGCCGGAGTTCGATAACCGAAGTCACCGTACGCATGGACATTTAGAGAAAGTGTTTTTCTCCTGTCCACACCACTTCAACAACCCAGGTGGAGTATAAAATGATCTGGGATGGGTGTTGCAGTATCTGTGCTGTAGCATTCAAGTGATGTGGCACTATAAATGATACCGTTGGAAGCACGGTCCTAGGACAAACAGAACACAATACATCTCCAGCACACACGCAGACATACACATATAGGGAGATATTGCCAGGTGGCATAGGACTCAAAGTAGCTAGCGACTGATAAGGCAGCTAATGCAAATTCCTCTAAATTGTATTGATTAATGTATATTGAATTAATTGTATATCTATGTATTGTAAAGCACTTTAGAGTGGCTTATGTTAGCTTGATAGGGTACTATGTTGTATATTTTTATTATTATTATACTAATGTTGCTTTATAAATGTGCCACATTCGCCATAATTAGCACTCAGGGCACTTAAAAATTGGCTTTAGAAGGGGTCGAACTTGCTTATCAGAGTAATACAATTGTGAGTTGTGATAGAAAAGTTGTGCAACTTAACCATTGTTGTCACAAAGGGTCATTATAAACATTCCGGTGTGGTTAGAGACTTGGAAGCCAAAGGTTTCATCTGCTTCACAGGAAGTTCAGCCATGTTTACCTTACATAAATCTCTGCTTTGAAGTGTACTTTAATTTTAAACACTATAAATTTTTGACTGGGTCAAGTCAGGTCTTTGGGGGGGGGGNNNNTCTCAGGGGTCTATGTAATTTTCAATTCCTCTGGAAAGGGGGTAGGGGCACTTATAGGAGAAGGGGCGGTAATTACCACGAATGCGGTATGCCAAAATAAACTAGTCTAATGATGGCTGTAACTCATTTACATACACACAACTTGTGTTTTTACATGTATAGATAAATGACAAAAATTGATGCAGCTGTTTGCCATAAATCAATATATATACCCAACTATAGTGTGTCGCATTTTAAGATATATACATACATACAAATGTATATTAGGTAATTACTTTAAAGTTGGACTCTGGGAAATATATATTGAAACTGAGAATGGAGAATACTTGGTAACTACATGAGTAGAAAATAGTTGGGAAGTTTATAATTCAGAAATTTGTTCAAGTAAATCAACCGATCTAAATTAAATGTGGTATGCAAATCAGCTACAAATAGATTTCACAGAAGGTCAAACTTGACCTTAATCTTTGCATACACAATTTTTGACCAACTATCATGCAAATCAAACGATATTACGGAAATTTATGGAGTGGAAACAAAATGTACCACAGACAAATGATTGAAAGCTAACTCTGTAAGTGCTTTAGAAACAAAGAGGTTGACCTACTTTTTCGTACAGGATGTTAGGTCCGGAGGACGCAGGGAGTCGAAGGTCAGGTTTCCGGTCAGGATATTTGGCATCGTGACTGAAGCCGGGGAAAATTTACGGTAAGGTGATCAGGGACGCAGCACAAAAACTACCTGTAATGAAAATAAAATAGGTGACTGCGACACCGCACAAATACTACCTGGAAATTAAACACATCACACTGACGCAGCACGAAAACTACATGTAATGAAAATCAAACATGTTACAAAGATGCCGCACAAAAACTACCTAGAAATCAAACATGTTACAAAGACGCAGCACAAAAACTACCTGGAAATCAAACATGTTACAAAGACGCCGCACAAAAACTACCTGGAAATCAAACATGTTACAAAGACGCAGCACAAAAACTACCTGGAAATCAAACATGTTACAAAGACGCCGCACAAAAACTACCTGCATACAAATAGAATAAACGTTCTTGTGACGCACAGCAGGCAGCACATAATCCAAGTGTTCAGGGTTCAGGGGTCATTTATAGTCTTGTACTTACCTTAATCAATCAACAATACTGCAATACTGATAGAGATAATATTCCTAAGATATACATACAGTGGTCAGTCAAACATTTAGTCCTCTCGACAAAAATCAGACTTCATACCACATGTAATGATAAAGAGATCCCAGAAAGATCTTGTAACTGGTCTTCATTTACCTTACAGGTACTATTACCCATGCAGTCTCATGCTGGGAATCCTAAACAGGAATCGTGTTAGTTAACTTAAACCTTGTAATGTATGTCATTTGCCAAATGTTATTGTAAAAATAATTGCATAACTAAATGTAAAATGCTTACATTTTGTAATTATTACAAATTTAGAAGTGCTGTCAATCAGTATGTACAGCTACAGACCAAAGGGGAACTTACATATCAAATTTGGAAAAAATCCATCCAGTACATGTATACAAACTTTCTGTGAAATAGCAATAACAAATCTTAACTGTCAAAATCCAAGATGGCCACCTGATGGCCATTTTGTTTATTCTATCAGTCTAAAAGTTATACATGCACAGGAACCAACATATCAAATTTGAAAAAGTTTCTCGAATACACTTGCTGAGAAATAGCTGAAACAAACCGATAGTAAACTTACATATCTAATTTGAGAAAGATCCCTCCTGGACTTTCTGAGAAATAGTGATAACAAACCTTCACTGTCAAAATCCAAGATGGCCACCTGTCCGCCATTTAATCATCTGATCAGTCTCAAGAGTAAACATGCACAATAAGGGTCCAAGAGGAACTTACATATCAAATTTGAGAAAGAACACTCCTGGTCTTTCTGAGAAGCGATAACAAGAATTGTTAAATGACGGACGGACAACTGTTGTTAATACAATGCACAATGCTTGAGAGTTTTAGACTTTCCACACTAAATGAGGTTAACATCCCTTTATTCATAGGCATTTTCCTTACTGATAGAATCCCACTCTTCTGTTCCAAGTTGGAACTGGATCACACCTTCATTTTATACATCATGTAAGCCAACTGGCCAAAGGATATACAATGTACTACACATTTCTTTTGCATGAATTCCATTTTCCTTAGAGAAGGAAGGAGGTGGGCACAATTTACCTTCTGTCCAACATTAAGCACCTAGGCATGCAATGCTCCAGACTAGATTTAGTTGAAATGATTTCAGCAGTTCTGGACTAGTAGTGTTTAACAGAAAAATTGAAGAAGGCAGAAAGGATTATACACAATCGTCAGGTCAGCTAAAAAATTAAATGTCCACTTTTGACTAAATAGTGAAATTAAATATTTGGTTACTGCCCGAGTTTCCTCTAGCCCTAACACCCGACTTAGACATGTTGGCATATAGATATATATAGATATATTTTCATTTACTCAAATTATTATGGATTTGGTATTCGATAATAGAATTTACATAATCCATACACTTTTAAAGCTGTTTATAAGTGAGGGTTTTTTTGTTTGATTTTTGGTAAACTTACATTAACTCTACCTTTATTTATATTTCCTCTCCTAACGATGTTAGTGACCTGCAGTCTGACCACTGGTCCCAGCAGCAACACCGACAAGTCAAACACAGTAATGGCAAGCTAAGCAAACAACATGACGACCTCGTCCGAGACCGGTGGTCAGATATAGGTATACTGCCTTGACCCAATACACAAATAGGTGTGACCTTGTGTCTATTGCTGAATAAAGATTATCTATAGCCAGCACAACGGTCATACATATAACAACCAGCTGACCGAGCCTGTCCGTATAAACACACAAAGATAATGTCCTTGTCCGATATTTAGTATGTACATTACAACTTACCCAAGCTGTCGTCAGCACCGGTCAATTCACGTGACCTGTATTGGTCAGTGATCATGACCCGCCATATTTGTATTACCGATGATATATGATATAAACACAGAAAAGACATTTTAATTACATTTTACGTGTTCTCCTCTTGTGTAACAGTATATTACCGGAGACGCGCTGTGTGTGTGTTTACACAACCTGGTACATATGTGCCATGTGTCCTACAGAAAATGTTCATTACATAACTTTTGATGGTGTTATTTCTGTATAGTATTGTTTTGGTGTGTGTTGTGCTATTTAAATTGCTATCAGCAGGCTAATTGTCAGATAAGCATTCGACTTACCTTGCTACCAGACTGCAACACAAATCACTTGTATAAGCTTGCGCTAGCTAATGTTTATATATGTATATTTAGAGTTGATTACTGTGTGGTGTCGACCTATGGCTACCGATTGGTTCCCCAAAGTACACGCCTCCTTATCTGGTCGACACACCCCCGAACCGCCAAGGCCCATTCAGAATGCATTACATAAGGATACTAAAGGTTATTAATTTGCATAATTAGCATAACAAGGTACGAGGTGATAAACTAGAACAAAACACGTTTCACCATCCTAGAAATTCACCCACCCCACCCGAGCAGTATACATATGTATATACGTCATTGATATTATAAAAGATACCCTATTGTCAGGAATACACGATTATAAATATATTTATAGCGCTGTACTCAAAATTAAGAATCGTATATACATTCCCTTCCGTCTCATTATCCCCCCTCTCTCCCCTCTCTGATCTCTTGCTGTCTCTCTCCATCTCTCTCCTACTGACACATGATTGATTGATTGATAGGTTTTACGTCCGCTTCACTACCGAGTAGTTCGGTTAACGTGCAGACTGACACATTTCCCAGAGACGTATATATACTATTTTCGAGAGGGGTCCATTGTGTCATTCATTTAAATCGTTTTCAGAATTACATTTCACAGTGGTTCTATTTATAAATTGCTACTTCTAAAGAAATGTGAATCATGTGCTGAAATATTGACAGATAATCAACTTTCATTTATTAAATAATTGTCGGTGGTTTTCGTCAGGGAGACATTTTCAGTCATTCTTTATTCATTATAAAAAAAAATTCAAATTATCTGCCACAATTGTTTGATCCCGACCATCATCGATTCATCGAGTAATGTGTGCGGGCGATAAATGTATATATGTTTCACATATATTATATCTTTGTGATTTATATATCAGTCACGTGTTTATGATCAGATGTCATAGGACATCTCGCCTAGATTACCGAGATGTCGGTTACGCACGGGTAAATATATCAAATGGTCTAAATTGTTATTCTATGTGAATAACATGATTTCAGATTTAATTTTCTGATAGTGATATTTTATTATTAATGTTTTTCTATAACTATTACCAAATATATCACATCAAAGCATTTGTGGAGGAGTGTATAAATGGTTACATTTTGTCCTCAGCTCTACTCGATACTAGTGATTTGAACTAAGAACCTCAGCAGTACTATTGTAACTCCCAAAGAGATGCATCACCGATTTCTAGAAATACATACACGTGGGTTGTTATTTGTTTGGAGTGTGAGTAACAAGGATACGAATATTTTAAGTGAATATATTGAAAAGAAACTGATGGCTAAAGGCAAATGGTGGCAAATCAAAAGGTACTTTAATACTCCTGGTTCTGGTTGAGCTCTGGGTATAACACTTTCTTCTTCTCGATATTTTCCTGTAGCCAGATATCATATTAAATCGTCCTTCATCTCTCCCACGTGTTACTTTTCGAATCTAGCAGGGATTTAGGCTATCCTATCATATTGATATTATTCTGTTGCACACACTCCCCAATTTGGTCGTTGCCAAATATCTTCCGTTTCTCTTACTAAAGCTTCCAACCGACCAGATCCCTATCTCCCTAGGCGTTTTGTGAAAGTGTGCGAGTTGGCCCAATTCTTGTTGCTTCCAATCCTCAATCTAGCACTCTCTGTTGTTTGTCTTCAAATGACGCCTTTGAGATGTTGAACTCCTTGCATCGTTGGTTTAATACTGTCAGCTCCATTCTCAGCTTTGTCACTTCTGACTGTCTCCTATCTGGTTGTTGGACTATCCCAGTACTTTTCACTCCATCTGTAGCGAGTGTCAGGAAGCTAATTTTCATGTCAATTCCACCTTGCAGAGTTGCTTGCAAATTGCTGATTTATCCTTTTATCCGTTTGCTTCTCTCAGTATAGTCATTGTCTACTCGTGCAACTTGCTTCTCCCTCTGATGAGCTCGAGGTATTCTGCTCTTACGACAAATGATTTGAGTCGTCATCTGCACCGTGTGTGAATCCAGGCTGAGAACCTCTTACGTCTCATAAAATGTTATGCCAGTGCGCCGCTTTTGCATCTTCTCAGGTCGCCATTTGCTTTTCGGTTGGTGCAGAATTTTCAACACTTGGACCTTCTTTCTATCTCCTGTGCCAAAGTCCGGTGAGCTAGCCATGTGGTCCCCGTGTTGGCGGCCCCGACGATTCTTACTCCAAGCTAAAGGTTGTTGTCCGTATTGTGTGCTCGTAGCCGGTTCTAGGCTGTTTTGGCATGGAAACTGTGTAGTGGAATAGTCTTTCTAGCGTCACAAACCTTCTCCTATTCGGCGGTGGACAGTTTAATGGAAGTGAGATTTATCGTAACCATACTTTATAGTTTTGAAGAAAAAAAATTGAGATTGTCGGGTTTGGCAGGTTGAAGATACAATGTACATGCAATTTGGCCCCGGCGCAATCTTTGAAACCAGTCTACTTTGCTGGTGCCCATTACCATTTCTCGGTTGGTTTTTACCCAATACACAAATGTAGATTCGACCAGGGCTTATAACGACAATATGTCTCTTATACTACAGTTCGTCATGCTCTTAATCGCTGAATGCATTTTTTAAAAGGGTTTACTAATACTAATCCGTTTTACTATTTAAGCCTACCTCTAAATCCTTATCAATGTGATGTGTTTTTTTGAGATCGTTATATATGGTTGGTTGCTCCGCGTTGGATTTAAACATGTCCGAAACTAATGTACCCCTCCGTGTTCATGCTGTGGGTGATTACGATATATTGGTCGATAAAGCCTCGATAAAAAAAAACTGTTCCTGTAATTTCCTTGATGTAGAATATATGCATACAATCTTGCTGTCTTGTGTGATCATTGAGCTGAGTATTCTTTAATTTTAGGAGTTCCGCCTTACAAATTAAATACCTCTGTGCTCAGTGTGGGGAATTGTATACATGAGAGTTTAGGTTTTAAAACAGAGATATGCCCGACATCACAATGTGTTACAAGCGAAGATTGAACCGCTTGTGTAATCGACCCTTGATCAAAGAGCCACGCAGGGGTCTCTTTGTTTGTTATGTCTATGTATTTATCAGATGGATTAAGTTCATGTAGCCCCCGAACAAGAACACGTTTAGTTGCGTAGCTANTTCATTAAAAAAAAAACGCCTTTTCACGTGATGTCCCTTTAAGTATACCAAGTCCTTGATTAACTTAAAATAGTACTTTATAAAGTGGACCTATTTTTGTAGCCATTGATTAAAGGTTTTACTCCTCGACCAAGTGTACGTTAACTAAGCTGACGAGACTAACACAACCAGACTGGTGGCCCTTTATGACTGTTGGCACAGGGAGGTGACATCTAAACGATGTACCACTGTCTGACGTTACATTATTTTGTATAACACATGGCTATTAACGGAATCTGGAGGATTCTGGTCCCTGTGTTTCAACTGTGTCGTTTGTAATATATTACAGTGCTTACACTCGTGTACCACCGTCTTCTTTGTATTTCCATTGATAGAGTATACTCAACATGCTTCTCCCTGGTTGAAATTAAAAAAATAGTTAAACACACGTATTAAGACTATGCAAGCTTATGGCCTGGCAGTTTGAGGCAGGGGTTAGGAACAAGCAGGGCCGTGAAACTTAACCTCGATCTCGTCCAGGCTGATTACTGTCGTAGTCTCGTTTTGGTTTGAGAAACGGTAAAAATGACTGGCTTTGATGTCAGGTGTCGCTCATCCTCGATATCCAGGGGTTACGCTCACTTTTGCTCTCTGCAACCCTGGAATACATGTATGTCATAGCAAAATTGAAGGCACGAAGATTGATTGGTCTCTGGTAAAAAAAGACCTTACCAATCGCTAGGCTGATACCTGTCTTTTGAAGATTACAAAGGAGAGACGCCTGACTTCAAAGCCTGTCAATTTTTACCGTTACGTGACCGCGAGATTCTTTTGATGTATATCAAAGGATCGAACTAGTCTTCTTCGAGCCTTCAACTTTGCTATGACATATTCCACGGGTGCAGAGAGCGAAAGTGAGCGTAACCCCTGGAAATCGAGGATGGGTGTCGCTCTTCTGTAATCTTTAAAGGACATGTAGGTACATGTATCAGCCTAGCGATTGGTCAAGGAGTTTTTTTTACACTGAAATCAATGAAACACATGTAGCTAGCCGCGTGCTTCAATTTTGCTATCACATATTCCACTGGGTACAGGCGACCTTGAGCACAGACGTCAAGTCTATTAAGACCCGATCAACATTAAAACAGGACTAACCTCGTTATATAAAATGTATACGTACAGCAACATCTGTATTGTTTATGGGAATAAAATAATTGTCATTATCATTGGCTGAAGGTACATATACTTTATTTCATTTCCTACCAGCAGTCGACTAGAAATTGAAATTTAAGTACGGGGGTCTTCTATTTGATTTTACTTGACGTTTTCTGTTTCTGAGCTCAAACCAAGTAGAAATACATACCTATCGTCCCATACTTGCGATAGCCATCTAAATAATAATAAAAATAATTCGAGGTTCTTATACACCGCTTTATCACAAACTAGTTCTTAGGTCGTCTCAAAGCGGTTCACAAATTATTATCCGTGGTTATAGGGCCTTTGCAACCAGCCAATATCGTTCTCAACTCCCTTGGGATCATACAGCCGGTTCTGCCATTTCGGCGCCTAGCATTCTACAATTCTAACACTGCCCAACCACGTACTCATTTACAGCTCAGTAGACTGGAACAAGCGAAGTAAAGTATCTTGCTCAAGGATACAATACAGTGCCGTGCCGTGCCGTGCCGTGCCTCGAACCCGCAACCCTTCGGACTACCGTGCCTCCTAAACCATGCATGTGCTCGGCATGGAACCGAGACAGTACGGACTGCTAATACTTAGTTTCGTTTGTAGATGTATATAGCATCTTCTGGGCGATGAAGATCTCCAATTAAGAGCTCTACAGAAGAACCAGCAGCCAGGACGACACTATTGAAATCAAGCGGCGCCGAATGAGGTGGCTAGGCCACGTCCTGGGAATGGATCAGTCCCGACACCCCCCCCCCCCCCCCCCCCCCCAACAAAATTGCACTGAA